ACAAATAGCAATGAGATTCTCTTTTCCCTGAGGGTACCTTCTCCAGAGCCCCTCCCACTGTAACAGCAGAGATTACAGTCGCTCAGAAATTAGCTAGCTGTTCTGAAAGATGGTACTTCCCACAATGCTCTGTTAATCGATAGCAGCACGCAATGCTGCCGTGTCAGTTTTGGAAACAAGGGGTTTGGGTGGCAGCCTCTCTGTACCATGTTTACAGAGGTCAGGCAGAGAGAGACACTCAGCTGAGGGCTGAATGCCCCTTCCTACTATGGGGAAAACCCCCAGTGGCTCAGCAATCAACCCGAGATCCAATGAGCAGCTTTTGCTCATCTCTGGCTCAAACAAGAGCATCCCTCTTGTTTTCAAACGCAGTTCAAAGAGACCCTGTCAAATAGTTTAAAGCTGAGACTTAAGGCCTGTAAAGAAGAAAACCTGAATTAACCAAAAGCAGTGCTAAAAACCCCAACCCACCAATGCTGTGCCAGTGTATAAGACCTAGAAAGCAGACCGACTAGAAACAGGGTGTGTCTATGCTAGAACAAGGCTAGCAGAAATGGCATTCAAAACGGACCATCTGCAAGAGTCTTGTCTACACTAGGGCATAAGCCGATGGGAGTTTTCTGTAAATTTTCCTGGTGCAGTCAGAGCATCAATCATTGTAGCACATAGGGCTCTGTCCTGATAACTTCTATTGGACTAACTGTGAAAATGACACGGGCTCGCAGCTTTAGAGAATCACAAGGTCTTTGTCAGGTCCTACTATGGCACTAAATTGCACCAATGAAGGCACACCAAGGAGATGGATTCAGAGTGGAAGGCTCCCCTACTGGTCAGAGTTAACCTGATCTAGATAGTTTCCACCCACTGCCTTATCTCCCCTCCCATCCCGGGCATGGTAACCTGGGTCTGGGTGGTATAAGTGCCGTTGTGTAGCTCCAGGAACAGTTCTCCTATCCAGGTGAACAGCTGGGTCTTCTCCTTCTCCAGCATAGAGAAAAACCGGTCAGGTGTGGACATCTGAACCCTATGGGGGAGAAAGGCAGATAGCAACAATACAGGCTCAGCAGCTGCTGCCCCCTGCAGAGGGAATGAGGAGCCCTGTGGTTCCTTCCCTAGCACAAGTCGATGGATTGCAAGTGGGAAAGCAACAGCCCCAGCTGTGAATCATCAGCTCCCTCCAGCCCCACTCTCCAGAATGGTAGGACCAAAGGGGTTAGCAAAAAGCTCTCAAGAGTCGGCAGTCAGCACCGAGCTCTGAAGGACACACGAGGAGAGAGGGTAGAGCCTCCCCAGACCTGGGTAGCCCATTTGTATCACTCATTCTCTTCAGCCTGTCCAGCATCTTCTGGGTCGGGCCACCTCCTCCATCTCCAAACCCAAAGAGAGCGGCACTGTGGTTCACACGGCCTTTGTCTCTGTTGTTGTTCATGGTTTTCATCATCTAGAGAAGATTACATATACACATGACACGTAGTGTCAGGCCCCCTCAT